CTCTCTCACTGTCTATAACTCTCTCTGTGTCTCTCTCTCACTAACTCTGCCTGTCCAAAAAAAAAAAAAAAAAAAAAAAAAAAACCTCTCTCTCTCTCTCTAAAAAAAATGTATATTTTAATGCATGGATTTTAATTTGGGGGGGGACACTAAAATAAACTTGACTTGGGGCAGGCATTTGGTATAGCAGTGGTATAGCCACCACTGGGACACCCATATCCCATACCAGAGTGTCTGGATTTGAGTCCCAGCTTTGATTCTGATTCCAGCTTCCTGCTAATGTACACCCTACGAGGCAGCAGGTAATGGCTCAGTTAACTGGGTTCCTGTCAACCACATGGGAGACCTGAGTTGAGTTCCTGGCTTCTGACTTTGGCCTGGCCCAGTCCCAGCTGTGTGAGCATTTGGGAAGCAAACCATTCAATGTGAGCTCACTCTCTCTCGCCCTCTCTCTTACTGTCTCTCTCTGCCTTTCAAATAAATAAATAAACAAAACTTTAAATAAACTTACTTATAATTCCATTTCCACAGACTTTCTGAAGTCCCTCATCTTTGTGGTTCTCTGACCTCTGTTCTGTTCTATTGACCTCTGTGAGGATGTGGGCAGTACCACACTGTTTTGACTGTTTTAGTGCCTTAATATGTTTTGAAATAAATGTAAGTCCTTCAACTTTGTTCCTCTTTTATGGAATTCTTTTAACTGTTCAGGGAATTTGCATTTCCATGTAAATTTTAATAGCAAGTTGTCAGCTTCAGTCTGCTGTGATTTTGTTGGGACTGTATTGAATCTGCAGAATAATTTGAACAAGAATTGGTTGTTAACAATACGGAGGCTTCTAGTCTCTAACTCCATTTATTTGTATTTGTATATAAATGAGGCTATTCTGTGTGGTATTTTTTATTTGGATTTACAATTTCTTTTTTACTATGAAATACACTGAGTTGTTTTTAGAACTTAATGGCTTTATTAAGGTGCAATTTACATAAAAATCATCCATTTTTAGTCTGAAGCTCAGTGTGTTTTAATGTAAATATAAACGGTTGTGAAACTGTATCATAATCCAGCTTCAGAACCTGGCCATCTGTCCACAAAGCTCCCTAGTGCCCCTTTGCAGTCAGGCTCCTCTCCCTGTCCAGGTCCATGTAGCCATTGATTTCCTTTCTGTCTGTTTAATTTGCTTTCTGGAAATGTCATATAAATAGAATCATGTAACGTCTAATCTTGTATGTCTGGCATTTTTAACCTGGCATAGTATTTTTGATTTTCATCTGTAGTGTTCCAGTAGCTCACTCTTTTTTATTGCTGCATAGTGTATGGATATACCACATTTTGTTTATTCGTTCATCAGTGAGTGGACATTTGGATATTCCCTGTTTGGGGCTTTTGTAACTATTGCTACTACTAACATTAGTGTACAAAATTGTGTGTGGGTGTATGTTTTCATTTCTCTTACATATATGTAGAGTAGAATTGCTAGATCATACAGTGACTCTGTTTTATAGTATGAGGAATTGCTGGATTTTTTCCAGAGTGTGTATGTCACTTTGTATTTCCTTCAGCAGTACATAGGGTTCTGATTTCTCTACATCCTTAATCAACGCTTTTTATTATCTGACTTTTTACTGTAGGCACCGTCATGGGTGTGCAGTAGTATTTCATTTTGGTTTTCATTTGCATGTTTCTAATGACTCATGTTGTCAGGCAACCTTTCATGTGGTTATTGGCTATTTGTGTATCTATTCACATCCTGTGTGCTCATTTTAAATTGAGGGAAAATATTCACAGTATTAAATCAGCTGCCTTAAAGTATGCAAGTACTCTGTCTGGTTCCAAAATATTTTCATCACTCCATAAGGAAACACCATATACCCTAAGCAGTCACTCCCCATTCTCCCAACCTCAGCCCCTGGTAACCATGAATTCATTTGCCTTTCTGAGGATTTACCTATTTGGAATTTCATAAAAATGAAATCACTCAACATGAGACCTTTTTTGTGTTTCTTCTTATACTGAGCATAATATTTCTGAGGCTCATCCATGTTGTAGCACATGTCAGTACTTTGTTCTTTTTTGTGATTGAGAAATAAGCTGTCTTTGTTTATCCGTCCATCAGGTGATGGGAATTTGGGTTATTTCTGCATTTCAGCAATTGTGAATAGTATTCCTGTGAGCATTCGTGTGTAACTAGTTCTCTGAATAGCTGTTTTCAGTTCTTTGGGATATATATTTAGGAACGGAATTGTTGAGTCATATGCTGAATTTGTGTTTAACTTTCTGAGGAACCACCAAGCTGTATTTCAAAGTATTTTGCCCACTTTTAAAAATCTGTTTCTTTTTATTATTGACTTGTAGTAATTCTTTATATATTCTAAATACAAGTGTCCCTTACAGTATACATAGTTTGCAAATATTTTCTTCCATTCTGTGGATTGTTTACTTTCTTAATCATGTCGTTTGATGGATAAGTTTTGAATATTTGCAGTATCCATGTTTATCTTTTCTTTTTTGCATATGTTTTAATAAACTATTTCCTATTCCAAGACCACAAAAATTTATACCTATGTTTTTTCTAAGAGTTTTATAGTTTTGACTCTTGTGTATACATCTATCCTGAGTTAATTGTGTATGAGATAAAGAAAGGATCCAACTTTATGCTTTTCCATGTAGAAATATAACTGTACTAGCATCATTTATTGAAAACATAATTCTTCCCACTGAATGGTCTTAGGCCCTTGTTGAAAATCAATTGTTAGTAAATATGAGTGTTTATTTCTGGACTCTCATTTTATCCCATTGATCTGTATGCCTGTTCTTATGCCGAGATCACACTGTGTTAATTACTTTATCTTTGTTGTAAGTTTAAATCAAGATATTTGAGTCTGTTAACTTTTGTTTTTCTGTAAGATTGTTTTGGCTTTTCTTAATCCTTTGCATTTTGTTATATGTTTTTAGGATCAGCTTGTCAGTTGCCCATCTCTGCAAGGAAGTCAACCATGTTTTTTATAGAATTCAATCTGTATATCAATTTGGTGGGAGGGTGTGAATTGCCACCTTAATATCTGATCCATGAACAAGCAAGATCTTTCCATTTATGTTGGTCTTTAGTTTCTTTTTTTTTTTTTTTTTTTTTTTGACAGGCAGAGTGGACAGTGAGAGAGAGAGACAGAGAGAAAGGTCTTCCTTTGCCGTTGGTTCACCCTCCAATGGCTGCCGCGGCCAGCGCACTGTGGCTGGCGCATCACGCTGATCCGATGGCAGGAGCCAGGTGCTTCTCCTGGTCTCCCTTGGGGTGCAGGGCCCAAGCACTTGGGCCATCCTCCACTGCACTCCCTTTTTGACAATATTGTGTATCTTCTGAGTACACATTTTACTTTCTTGAAATTGTAAATTTTTTTAATTGTCAGTTGTTTTCTAGTTCCTTATTTTCTGGTACATAGAAATACAATTTATTTTTTCAGTATTGATCTTAATCCTGAAACCTTGCTAAGTTTGTCTGTTTGTTCTAGTTTCTTTATAGATTTTCTAGCTTTTTTTAGGGTTTTCTATGTAAACGATAATGTCATCTACAGTTCAGACATGGTCACCTTTTGCTATCAAATACTTATGCTTTTTATTTCTGATTTTTTTTTGTTACTCAGTTGCACCAGCTAGGAATTCTAGTATGATGGTAAATGAGAGTTATTAGTACCCACAGTCTTCTTCCTGATCATAGGAGGAAAGTATTCAGCCATCATTAAGTATGATATAGGCTATATGTGTGTGTGTTTGTGTGTGTGTATTTAAAAAGATGCACTTATTTATTTGAAAAGCAGAATGACAGAGAGATTGTTTGTGCACTGATACGCTCCCAAATGCCCTCAATAGGCTGAGCTAGGACCGGCTGAAGCCAGGAACCCGAAATTTCATCCAGTCGCCCATGTGGGTGGCAATGTCCCAAGTACTTAGACCATCATCTACTACCTTCCCAGGTGCATTAGCAGGAAGCTGGATCAGAAACAGAGTAGCTGGAACTCAGATCAGCATCACCTTAACCTTCTGAGCCACAAAGCCCACCCTAAACTATAAGTCTGCTTGTAGCCATCCTAGAGTTTTCATACAGGACCCTAACTGACTAAAATCAAGAAGCACCAAGGTTAAGCCTGGGACTTTCAGTAGAAAGAGATGACCTTTGATATTTCTTCTCAACATGTCCAGGCCTGTGGCAGAAACCCAGCCACATTAGAACAAACAAAGAGGAAACCGTGGTCGGAAAAAGCATCTAGGGGCCGGTGTACTGCAGGCCAGGAGGGTCTCGGAAAATGCAGTGTCACCAGGACAGTCTGTCCATTTCATGACTCCCGTTTTCACCTGTTGATTTCAGTCTCCGCACATTCCCCCACCACCTCTCACTACTTTTTGCCAAAGATGTAAACAGCAGCAGGCTTAAGGCCATAACCAACTTAGCCACCTAGCAAAAAGAAGGAGCTTCACTTTTCAATTATTCTGGAACACATTCTCTGAATTCTGTTTGGAATGCCTTGGGTCACTTGGCCATCCCAGAGCCAGTCACTGGCCAAGGGAATAGAATGCCCTGATTGGTCTGGCCTGAGCCATAAGCCATGCCTCCTTGGAACCAGGCTATAGTGTCAGCCCCTACCCTAGTCTGATGGGCTTAGAAGGGGAGGGGCAGTTTCCCAAGTCAAAAGCAAAGTGTTGTAACCAGAAAATGAAGAAATGAGTCCAGCCAGGCATAAATCCCAGGTGCCCACACCCTGCTACAGGAGACCTATCTGCTCCAGGTCTGGCATTACTGCTGCACCTCCTCCAGCCTCAGTTTCCCCGTCTGTAGCACGAGGTGATGAGCTCTGCCCTTCTTGACCCTATCTGAAAGGTCCAGTGAAGCAGTGGGTTAGAAAGCTGCCCACACTGTCGAGTGTGGTGCGCACAGGAAGGAGGGACTACAAGCGTGAGTACTAAGTAGCTATTCTTACCCATCTCCCCTCTTCTGTCTCCCTCACAGAGCACCTGAAGAAGCCACTTGAAGACTACATGGCCCTTTTCCCTAGCGTGAGGATTCTCCGAACCAAGAAACGGGAGGGGCTGATAAGGACCCGGATGTTGGGGGCCTCAGTGGCAATTGGAGATGTCATCACATTCTTGGACTCACACTGTGAGGCTAACGTCAACTGGCTGCCCCCCTTGCTTGGTAAGGGAGCTCCTCCTGTTCTGAGGGAGGTGGCTTGGAATCAGCCAACTGTGCCATTGGCCCTGGGCTTTGTTGGGGAGTCTACAAGCCTTCCCCCTGTGTGCTTGAGAGCATGCCACAGAGCAGCAGATGCCATGGGGCACGGGTGGGATCCAGAGGTTCCGAAATGTTCACAGAGACCTTAGACGTGGAGTCAGTCCTGCCTCTTCACTTCCCAAACAAGGAAACACAGAGAGGGGAAGAGACTTGGGCACGGTCGCCACAGCACCATAATGTCTAGTTTCATGACTGCCTCCCTCTGATGACTTAAAGTCTTGCTGGAGAGCAAACCAGAGCCATCTGCTGCCAGGAGACAATGCAGAGGGCGTCATCGTGTCGACCTGGAGTAGTGACTGCTGATTGCACTGCTCCTCTGAACCACACCAGGCCTCACCAAGGCATGCAAGATTGAAAGGATCCCCTTTTCATAGTAAAAGAAACTGGAGTCAGATATTGAGTGACTCACTTGTCCCCTTGGGCCTTAAGCTTCAAAGTCACCATCTGTGTGGCCCAAAAAGTCTACTGTCTGTCACAATTCCACATGCCTCCCAAATTCATTTCCTCTTAGACAAGAGTGGCTGTCAGGTGCCAGGGAAGGGCTGTAAATAGAGGGCAGCCTGACCCAGGAGTCACCCACCCTAGCCTTGGGGATGGAGGGAAACAGGAATGCTGGGTGCTGGGCCTGGGTGCCTCACAGCTGGTGAGAGACCAGGCATGAATCCTGAGGAGTGCCATTTTGATGAAGGCAGTTAGCTGGTGCTGTCAGGCAGACATCAGACAGGAAATGTTCCATTGAGACTAGAAGTCAGGTCAGGGCCAGGGCCAAGGCTGGAGGCAGATGGGGGAAGAATTACCAATCTAGAGAGCAACCATGAACCCCACAGAGAGCTTAGGGAGCAAAGAGGACTGCAGTTTAGGGCAAACTTGGACAGATAATGAGAGACCTCTGAAAATCTTGCAGTGTGCTGAGCCCCACCTGGAGTTTCTGATCCAGGAGGTCTAGAGTGGACCTCTATTGTGGGGAGCACCAGCACCCTTACTTCTTCTCCTGGATCCACATGAGACGTTGTTATGAGATGATGTGTTTCTGACCCCCAGATTCCAGGATCTCACTGGGTTAGGCAAGGATTAGACTGTCTGGTAAACTGTTTATTTAAACTAAGAGTTCTTCTGCATCTGTCTCTCATTACTGAAAGAGAAAAACAAAAAGGAAGAAGTCCCACCATAAATTGCCTAGTTTATAGTCCTGAAGGAACAGCCCATTTGTAGGGTCATTCAGTGACTCATAAAAGGAATGAAGTGGCAGGACACAAAGCTGAGCTTATAGTTTAAATAGCCCTTAACTCTGTTTCTATGGAAATACATGAGGGCAGTTGTCATAATATGCAGACGTGCATGTAAGAAACATGCTCCCCCCCTTATTTTACTTTTTCCAACAGAAATGTGACAGTGGTATAGATTTCAAAGTCTGTCCCTGCTAATATCAGCAGTTGATGGAGCACATCGTGGCTTTTGTCTGTGAAACCATTAACATCGCCATCTGCAGCTCCCTCTGCCTTTAGAGATGAGACATTTCTGAGCCTGAGAAGGATTCACACTTCCCCCCAAAGAACACCCAGTATTGGCCATCATTCTATCATCATCATCATCATCACCATCAACATGGCTTTGCTGGTCCCTTAACATCTTAAGCCAGGTCCACATTGGAATTTGACTGTTAAAAAGCAGGCAGGCCAGCCCTGATAGCCACATTTTGCAAATGACAAAAATGAGAAGCAAAGAAAATTAAGGAGCTGCTGCTCACCCTTTCAGATCCTGCTTCTGAGCCTCTTTGCAGAATCCTGGTCCAGGCTGGTCCCGTGCCAGAGGCTGTGCTAGGCATCTTAGCTCCTTTATCCTGTGCAATCCTCAAAGAGACCCCATGACATAGGTGCTCTCTGCCTCCATTTTCTTTTCATTTTTTAAAAATTTATTTTGCTTATTTATCTATAAAAGGCAGAGAGATCTTCTGTCCATTGGTTCATTCCCCAAATGCCCAAATCAATTGGGGCTGGGCCAGGCCAAAGTCAGGAGCCTACAACTCATTCTGGGCCCCCCACGTGGGTGGCAGAGACCCAAATACTTGAACCATCACCTACTACCTCCAAGGGTGTGCAGCAGTAGGAAGCTGAGCAGGGACTTAAACCCAGGGACTCCAATATCAGATGCAGGCTTCCCAAGTGGTGCCTGCCCCTCTTGCTTGATTTTCTTCATGAGGAAACCAAAGCTCAGAGTATAAGGTTATACTGCTGATAAGTGACAAACCAGGATTTGAACCTGTGCATTCTGTCCTCAAGTGAAGTCGGCATCATAGCACGGTACCCTCTGGTTCTACTTGACTCCATGCCACCAGTCTCCAACAGCAGCCAGCAAAGCACTGTGCCCTCAGCCCCAGCACTCCTTGGATGTAAAATCAGCCAAATGTTCATGAACAATGGGAAGGAAGGCCCTTCAGAGCTAGACAGCGTGGGAGAGACAGAGAGAGAGGTCTTCCATCCACTGGTTTGCTCCCCAAATGGCTGCAATGGCCAGTACTGGACCAGGCTGAAGCAGGAGCTTTATCCTGTCTCCTACATGGGTGTAGGGGCCCAACCACTTGGGCCATCTTCCACTGCCTTTCCCAGGCCATTAGCATGGAGCTGGATTGGAAGTGGAGCAGCCAGGACACGAACCAGCACCCATGTGGGATGCTGGCATCACAGGTGGTAGCATTACCTGCTATGACACAATGCTGGCTCCAAGAAGACTCTTAAACTCATCAAGAATCCCCATGGGTGAGGCATACATTTGGCCTAGCAGATATGATACCTACATCTCATATCAGAGTGCTTGGGTTTGAGTCCCAGTTCTTCTCCAGAGCCCAGCTGTCTGCTAATTAATGTGCTACCAGAGAAGCAGCGAATAATGGCTCAAGTAACTGGATTCTTGCCACCCATGTGTGAGACCTGGATTGAGTGTCCTGCTTCCAGCTTTGACCTGGTTCATCTCCAGCCAGTGCGAACATTTGTTGAGTAAACCAGAAAATGAGAGCACTCACTCTGGTTTTCAAATAAATAAATATAAGAGAAAGAATCCCCAGAGGACCTGTCTTCTTGGGGTAGGGCAGGTTTGGTGTTTTTTTGTTGTTGTTTTTTGTTTTTGTTTTGACAGGCAGAGTTAGACAGTGAGAGAGAGAGAGATAGAGAGAAAGGTCTTCCTTTTTCCATTGGTTCACCCCCCAGATGGCCACTACGGCCGGTGCTCGGCGTCGACCCAAAGCCAGGAGCCAGGTGCTTCCTCTCGGTCTCCCATGCGGGTGCAGGACCCAAGCACTTGGGCCATCCTCCACTGCCCTCCCGGGCCACAGCAGAGAGCTGGACTGGAAGAGGAGCCACCAGGACAGAATCCAGCACCCCAACCAGGACTAGAACCCGGGGTGCCAGCTCCACAGGCGGAGGATTAGCCAAGTGAGCCGCGGCACCGGCCAGGTTTGGCGGTTTTTAAACCTACCTTGGCAGTGTCTGGCACTGCTGGCCCCCAAGCCACACTTGGTGATACATTACTGGAAACTGCACTTATTAAACTTTTTTTTTTTTTTTTACCATCTCAATTTAGTGCACAAAGGCACACATGCATTGCAGTGTCACTGAAACACATTTCCTGGAATAGGATCTCCTGTCCCAGTCGCCCTTATCACCTGTAATGCAGTCTGATTGTCAGAGTTCCCTTTTGTTTTGTTTCAAACACAAATAGACATGACTGTTTCCCCGTCACCTATAGATTGTGTCTTGCATGCAGAATATACAAAACTGCTGCTTTTTCTCATGAAGAAAAATGTACTGTAGCTTTGATGAAACTTGAGCCCTAGGCAGCAGCTGACCTACCCTGGCCCGACAAGACTCCCATTCCAAGTGCTGACCTTGACTCCTGGCACAAAGCAGCCAGGACCCTGGTACAGTCCACTTGCCCCTCATTTTTGCAACAGCTGACTGATACCCTCTGACTGCAGTCAGGACTTCTTAGGAGAGAAACATGAACAAACCAAAGCAGGGATTCTGTTCACAGATTGGGCAAGGAATGACTTGTATGGAATCCACTTCTCTCTGGCCTGGAATGGATCGGGGATCATAGCACCATCTAGGTCAAGGCCCTCATTTGCTGTCTTGCATCATTCAGCCTGGTGTCCACCAGGCTCTGCTTGCATACCTGTGATTGTAGGGAACTCGCAGCTTGCAGGCACAGCCCATTCCCTTTTCCACAGTCAGTTGGAAAAATTGAGCTGAACTCTCTCATGAGCCAGCCATTTGCTCACTGACTGCAGCCAGGGATGCTGTGAACTATCAGGGGCCAACAGTCTGCCATAAAGAGCAAGTGCTGGGGTGCAGCTGCTGGGAGCCTGGCAGAGCCAGAACAGGAGTCCTCCTAGAAGGAAATCAGTCTGTCTCCATGGTGTGCTGCAGCCCTGCTACGCACTTTCAAACATCATACCTGTGAGGCAAAGCCTTTTCCCACCCCACTTACACTGGAGAGCACCGGGGTTTGGACATGCTGTTGTATAGCTGCCTCAGGACCCTGTCACGGGTGGCAGGACTGGGATGGGAGTAAAGCTGTGCTTTCCCTTCCTCCCTGTGAATTCTCAAAACTCACGTGTTTGGAGCCGTCACCGAAGAACGGGTTGGCTAGGCCAGTGAGCTTCAGATTAGAATCGTACACTGAGCTGCTCCCCAGTCCTGCCTCAACTCACAGGCATCTCTTGGCTGCTTCAGACCGCATCGCTCGGAACCGCAAGACCATTGTGTGCCCGATGATCGACGTGATTGACCATGATGACTTTCGATATGAGACACAGGCTGGGGACGCCATGCGGGGCGCCTTTGACTGGGAGATGTACTACAAGCGCATCCCGATCCCTCCAGAACTGCAAAAGGCTGACCCCAGCGACCCATTTGAGTAAGTATGAATGGCCCAGGCTCATCCCAGAGGTTGATCAGTGACCCCACTGCAACCCACACATAGATCGGGATCACCACTCCCACCAAAATCCTGTGCAAAGGGTCCAGCTTCCTGGCCCTGCCCACTGCCAAGTGTCAGATGTCCCTAGCCAGTAGCACCACCCCTCCCTATCTGTCACAGAGCTTCAGCTCACAGACCACCGAGCTGGTCACCCCCACCTTTCACCTCTACACCGTTTGCCCAAATGGCCAACAGCCATGAGGAGAGTCACTCATGCTATCTCCAAGTCTGGCCCAGTGCTGAACACTGATGAACTTAACCCCCAAGCCACCACATGCATTGACAGTTTTTATCCACATTTTCCAAATGAGGGCCTAGCAGTTAAGTGACAAAGGCTGCCTGTCTGCCTGTGGCACCAGCTTTCTCATCGTTCTGTTCCACTGCCTTGGAAGTGTTAAGGAAAGTGTGGCTTGGCCCACAACGGAAGTTTTAGGGAGTCAGGAATGGACTGATGGCATCCTAGAATGTTGCGGCTGGAGGGAACTGATGGAGGAAGGGCTCGACCCCTTGCACAGGAGACGGAGGCCCTGGGAGAGGGAAGACTGGATTCCGGTGAGTTAGTCACTAAGTTGGAAATAGCACGCAGCCCTTGTCTGGAGCTGCAAGCCCTGGGAAGGGTCTTTTCCTCAGAGAAGCTCGTGTCCCTGCAGCTGTCACATGAGCTTATTCTAGCTCTCCTGCCAGAGGCGTCAAAACCTGAGACTACAAAGCCAAGGCCCCGTCTCTCCAGCGACTGCTCTGTGGCCAACGACCACAACTTAGTGGTTTCAAACAACACAATTTTATGGTCAAAAGTCTAGAGTCAGTCTTAGTAGGCTGGGAGCACGTGTCCACAGGATGTGTTCCCTCTGGAGGTCCTGTGAAAGAGTCTCTTGCCTTGCCTTGCCCAGCCCCTAGCAGATGCCCACGTTCCCTAACTCACGCCCACCTCCTACATCTTCAAAGCCAGCAGCATAGCATCTTGAGCTTTCTGTGTTTCTCTCATGCCTCTGCTGCCACCATCACGTTTCCTTTGCCTCTTTCACCTCCGTGTCTCACAGATAAGCCCCCTGGGATTACAGGGACTACAAGCAACAACATAGATGCATCAGGATAGTCACAGTCCCATCTGCAAAGTCCCTCTTGCCGGGGAAGGCAGCATAGCCACAGGTGCCAAGGATTCAGACGATGGCATCTTGGCAAGGCCACATCTGCCTCCTATCATTGGGCTCCTAATGAATCCCACCTTCTCTGTGCCTGACCCTCCCGCTCTGAAGAAGAAAGCCTTTGGTAGCTCAGCCATCTTCATGGATACAGTGCAGAACCATGGTTCCCAAGGGGAGCCTGTAACACTGTCCCAGGGAAGGCTCAGCAGTAGCAAGAGCTAGGCTTCTCTGGGGCAATGAAAGGTGGCCAGGCAGAGGAGTGGGGCAAGCCAGGAAAGAGTCCCTGTGCTTCTGTAGCAGGTCAGCCCTCCTGTAGCTTCTTTATTTTAATTTGCATTTGTTTTATACTGAATTTACTCTTGAGCCGTAAGTTTTTTCTTCTTTAGTTTTTTCTGGGATATCTTTTTCTTCTGTGCCACCTCCTCTTCTGGTTTAGGAGCAGTTTGTTCCTTTTCAGTGAGGATCATCTCCATGTGGCACAGGGAGCTCATGCATGGATTAATGTGGCCGTGGGCTCTGTAGGGACGGCAGCGCATCCTGGGGCTCTGTTCCCCTGGATGTGTCCAATGGCCAGAGAATCTGCATCCAATCCCTTCAGCTCAGCATTTCTGTCTGCGTTTTTAAGCATGTATAACAGAAACTTTGCACTCTTTTTGGACCACTGACCACTGCTTGACCTGGGCACACCTACCAACTCCACCACTGGACGAATAACACAGCACACATTGCTTCTTTAATGTGACATCTTTCAGGTATTTGGTGGCTTTTTGGATATGCATACCCTTGTTGGCCTGGGAAGTTTCTCAGGTGTTCTTAAAGTGAACACAAAGATTTGAGCCTCTTGATTTGCATAATTTTGTGAGGTTTTCTGGGTCAAGTAAGTAGTGAACCATTTTCACAGATCACCTAAAGCTGCTTACAGGAGGAGCCGCCTTCCTCCCTAATCTTAAACATGGTCACTCACACTCTGATCAAAACCAAGGCCAAGACCATACCATGCAATCTTCCCCACCCTCCAGTACCCTGGAGTCAATTCCTGCTTGACCTGAATTCCTGGAGAACATTTGCTAGCAGTAGCTAATACTTGCCTGAGCTGCCAAAGCAGTTTTGACCCACATGTCCTCAGGGATAGGTAGGACATCCCCATTTGACCAGCACAGACCCAGTAGTTCAACATGGTGCAGTAGCAGCAACTGAGATCAGAAGGGGCTGCTCTAGAAACAGAGGAGCCCAGGTAACCAAGACATAATCACCACCAGTGCCGCGGCTCACTAGGCTAATCCTCCGCCTTGGGGCGCCGGCACACCGGGTTCTAGTCCCGGTCGGGGCGCCGGATTCTGTCCCGGTGCCCCTCTTCCAGGCCAGCTCTCTGCTGTGGCCAGGGAGTGCAGTGGAGGATGGCCCAAGTGCTTGGGCCCTGCACCCCATGGGAGACCAGGATAAGTACCTGGCTCCTGCCATCGGATCAGCGCGGTGCACCAGCCGCGGCAGCCACTGGAGGGTGAACCAACGGCAAAGGAAGACCTTTCTCTCTGTCTCTCTCTCTCACTGTCCACTCTGCCTGTCAAAAATAAATAAAAAAATAGAGCCGGCGCCATGGCTCAATAGGCTAATCCTCCACCTTGCGGCGCCGGCACACCGGGTTCTAGTCCCGGTCGGAGCGCCGGATTCTGTCCCGGTTGCCCCTCTTCCAGGCCAGCTCTCTGCTATGGCCAGGGAGTGCAGTGGAGGATGGCCCAGGTGCTTGGGCCCTGCACCCCATGGGAGACCAGGAAAAGCACCTGGATCCTGGCTCCTGCCTCCGGATCAGCGCGGTGCGCCAGCCACAGCGCACCAGCTGCGGCGGCCATTGGAGGGTGAACCAACGGCAAAGGAAGACCTTTCTCTCTGTCTCTCTCTCACTGTCCACTCTGCCTGTCAAAAATAAATAAATAAATAAATAAATAAATAAAAATTATAAAAAAAAAAAAAGACATAATCAGAGCCTCCTTTGTTGTTGGGACCTTTGCCAGAAGCAGACTCACTTAGAGCTTCGGAAGGCCTGATCTAGGCCCATTCATCCTCCTCCCTGCACGAGAGGAAAGGCTAAGTCCTGGCCCTGTAGCTGACCAGTGTCAGACGTCCAGGCAGTGTCCCTGGGGCCTCAGTCCCATCATCTGGATGTTGAAGGGGCTGGCCTCACCAGAGAGTGATGGCTCTCAACCCTTGGCTCTGGGCCTAGGTGCCTCTGAGGGACTCTCCCTCCTTTGTTTTGTTTTTGTTTTTTGACAGGCAGAGTGGACAGTGAGAGAGAGAGACGGAGAGAAAGGTCTTCCTTTTGCCGTTGGTTCACCCTCCAATAGCTGCCGCGGCCGGCGCAGGCCCAGGACTCTCCCTCCTTTGTATACTGATTCACTCCAGAAACCTCCCGTCTGCATTGAACTTGCACCCAGGGAGTGGCCACCAGAGAAACCCTGGTCATTTCCTGCCCACTTCCCCGTGGCGCCCAGCAAATGGGCAATCTGCAGGCACAGCATGGTGTAATGATGTTTGAAAGACACACATTTTGGTGGCAGACCCTGATTTAAATCACAGCTTATCTGCATGTCCTTGAACAGATTTTATAGCATTTCTGATTTTCAAATTTTTCCATCCGAAAATGGGGCAGTAATAGAGCTTTGTGAGAGCCGGAGATAATGGCAGCAAAGCGAACAGCAGACAGAACAAACTCAGAATTGTGGTTATTATTGTTGCTGAACACAGCAGCAAGCGGAGCAGGCTGGGAAGAAAGGCCTCCCTCAGGAGGCAAATCCTCGCACATCCGAAGTACCGCAGTTCTCACGCCCTGCCCGTTCCATGGCAGCCCCTTAGCCCTGCCACCAGATTCAACCCAGGCCAGTTTCCTGTGCGGAGGCTTGGATTTGATTCCCCAGGAAGCACCAAGTAGAAACATGCCCTGCCCTTTCTCTCCACACAGTACATGTATGGCTTCAGCCAGAAAATCCAAAACCCCACAGTCTTCAGAGGATGAAGGGGTACTGATGCTAATGGTACCTTATTTTCTTAAAATCCTGGATCTTTTTAGAAATACACTAGCAACGTGGAGCAGACATTAGCCGAGTGGTTGAGACACCGCTATCACAGTACTTGGGTTAAATTCCCAGCTCCAGCTCTGACTCCAGCTTCCTGCTAGTACACACCCCAGGAGGCAAGGGTGATGACACAGATGGTTGAGTTCCTGCCACTGGTGTGGAAGACCCGGATTGGGTTATTGGCTCCTGGTTCTGGCCCATTCCCAGCTATTGCAGGCATTTGGGGAGTGAACCAGCAATGAGGGGGGAAATGGGAGCACCCCCTGTCCTCTATTCACCTCTCAAATAAAGAAAAAAGAAATACACTAGCAACATGAGTTAGGAAGTATAGCTTACCTCCATTGTGTAGATGGGGAATCAGACTCAAAGAGATTAAATCAGCACAGTCCAATATTATGTGAGCCACATTTAATATTGAATTATCTAGTGACTGCGTAAGAAAAAAATAATTAAAATTCACTTTAATCTATCTTATTTATTTATTTATTTTTGACAGGCAGAGTGGACAGTGAGAGAGAGAGACAGAGATAAAGGTCTTTCTTTGCCGTTGATTCACCCTCCAATGGCCGCTGTGGCTGGCGCGCTGCGGTCAGTGCACCGCGCTGATCCGATGGCAGGAGCCAGGTACTTATCCTGGTGTCCCATGGGGTGCAGAGCCCAAGCACTTGGGCCATCCTCCACTGCACTCCTGGCCACAGCAGAGAGCTGGCCTGGAAGAAGGGCAACCGGGACAGAATCCGGTGCCCCGATCGGGACTAGAACCCTGTGTGCCGGCGCCGCAGGCAGAGGATTAGCCTAGTGAGCCGCGGTGCCGGCCCTAATATATCTTATTTAAATCAGTATACCTAAGATACCATTATTTTAGCCTGTAACCAACACTTTGCTATTACTAATGATGTCCTCTATGATTGTTTCTTCAGAGTGAGTCCTCACACCCAGTGTGTGCCCTAGCCATAGCACATCTCAGCTCAGGCCAGCCACATCCCCAGAGCCCACTTGTCACCTGTGGCCGTTGGCTACCGTTGTGGGCAGCACAGGGTCAATGTTAAATCCTTTGAGGAGATCAGACCCTAGAGTAAAGGTGCCCCAGGTTCTGGTCCCCTCTCCTCTCATTACCTGCTTCTCTGTGGTTCATGACCGAGGCAGTGATGTGGTGGCAAGGGGTGCAGATGGCGCTCAAATCCTCAGATTTCAGCAGTGCCTCTTAGTGACTCTGGCGCCCTGAGCAAGTTACCCAGTTCTACAACACTTTTATATGCGTAACAAGGTCTGTCTCTGGGATTGAGCCCAGGAGTAAGTCTGTGTTATTAATGAGCTCCATATAGCACTGGCACATTGACCTCTCACTGTGCAGGCTCTTTTGCTATTGGCAGGCCAGTAGCAAAGTCTTGTCAACCCACTCCCCATGAGCTTGCAGTTCCAGGTGGGAGGGGAAGAGGAGGGCGCTGCTGGAATGTTTTGCAGTGAGAGTTTGGAGTTGTCCAGGAGATCAAGACACCACCATTTTCTGGTAGTTTCTCACACAGCAAACTCTTGGCCCCGGGCAGGTACCAGCCCTGTGCCGGCCCGGGGGATTCTGGCAGGCAGCAAGGCATCCCCTGGGGCTTAGCTCAATGCCAGGCAGACTTCCTGTTCCCTGGGTGCTCTTCCAGGCATTGTTTTCTCCTCCCCCAGTTCCTCCCACTGCAAACCCCCTGGAATGCACTTCCCCTGAGCATCCTTCCTTGACCCTTACCTCTTGCTCCAGCCTCCCTCCTCACTCCCACAAGCTGGAGGCAGACACTCCTTCTGCATGCAATAATATTCTCTCTGTACCTCCTAGAGGCCCTTATCACACCTCTACCTGACTTTCTTCATGCTTCTCTCCTGATGTGGCCACCCCACTGCACTGGCCTCCCTGAAGAACTCTGTCCTACCTCAGTATACTTCTGGCACCTGCTTTGCAGCCTGCACTCAGTGAATAGACTACCGGGACAATGAATGAGTGGAGCTCGTCTAATCTCCCAGTTTAGCTGAAAGAACAGGGACTGCAGCTTCTTGGTGCAACACCACCATGCAGTATGCCCATGTGAGGTGTACTGACAAAGGCACGTGTATAACAGACTCCTAGACCCTGGCCCCAGAGATCGTTTCCATCGACCTGGGGTGGGGCACAATAAGCTGTATGTTTCTCCTTTCTCTGAGACTCTCCATTGTAGACAGGCAGGGGAAGAGCTGTTCCCTGTGACTTACCTGGAAGGAGGACTGGAGAGATATAGATGTGATGCAGCTTTGAGGCCCATGGGAAGGAGGTGCTGTGATTTCACTTCACAGGCATTCTTAGCTGTTAATCATGTAGGGGAGTCTTGCATCTGTTTGTTTAAAACATAGCATTTACAAAGGGAAGATAAAAGCCCAGGCCCCTGCCTTGGAAGGGGCCTTGGTGTCCCTGGTAGACACAGCTTTGTGTCATCAGAGAGGAGCACATGCCAGCATGTCTGTGCCCTCACACCACCCCCTTCTTCTCTGACAGGTCTCCCGTGATGGCCGGTGGACTGTTCGCCGTGGACCGGAAGTGGTTCTGGGAGCTGGGTGGATATGACCCAGGCTTGGAGATCTGGGGAGGGGAGCAGTATGAGATCTCCTTCAAGGTGAGCTGGCTCTCCAGAAGCCCCTTCTTCGTGGCCCTGGGCTCGGCATGCTGCCTGTCTAGCCACTGTCTAGAAAGGCTCTGGGGGCCTCGGGGTCTGTAGCCATCCTGCCCCTAGGTGAAGAAGTCCAGGGCCGGTAGGCCACTCCTGGGGAGGGGTGGGGGCTTCCCTCAGGCTGTCAAAGCCTGGCCTTAGCCACACTGTGACTCACATTTGCCTGTCATCCCTTCTCATGATGTTGGGATAAGAAAGGGCTCGCATCCAGTGCATATAGCGTGCATAGCGTGCCTGTGATCTAGATGGCCAGCAGACCTGCATCAGGGGACAGGAGCCAGGCAGGCCCTGCAGTACACACAGGCCAGAAGGATGCTGGGCCCTAATAACAGCCACCTGGCCTCACAGGATGTGAGTTGGCCACGGTGGCTCCTGGCTGCCCCGTCAGGCTCTCCCTTGAATCTATCACTGCAAGAGTCCAGCATTGCAGACCCTGACATGAAAGCTGCAGTGTGGGGTCAGGTGGGCCTGGATTCCAGCCGCAGCTCTACTACACAGTGTCGCTCTGACTTGGGACAAGTCTCTGAGCTTCCTTTTTTTTTTTTTTCTTTCTTTTTTTTTTTTTTTTTTTGAAGATTGGTTTATTTATTTGAAAGTCAGTGTTACAGACAGAGAGTGAGAGACAGAGAAAAAGAGATCTTCCACCTACTGGTTCATTCCTTAGATGGCCACCACAGCTCGGGCTGGGCCAGGCCACAGCCAGGAGCCAAGAGCTTCTTGCAGGTCTCTCACATGGGTAGTAGGGGCTCAAGCACTTGGACCATCTAATGCTGCTTTTCCCAGGGCATTAGCAGGGAGCTGGAACAGAAGTGCAGCAGCCGGGACATGAACCATGTGGGATGCTGGTGCCACAGGCAGCAGCTTTACCAGCTATGCCACAGTGCCAGCCCCTCTGAGCTTTGTTTCCTCATCTGAGATAAAGGAATAGTAGTACTACCTACCTCACAGATCTCCTGGGAAGATGAGATCAAATAATGTCTAAAAAGTGCTTAACACACAGCCTGGGAGCATGACTAGCAGCAAATAAATAGGTAGAAATTGTTAGAGATGCAGTACATCAATATTTACTATATAACCCATTTGCCCAGCCCAAAGGCTACAGAAGCTCTCTGGCAGTGGTGGTAAAGGAGTTGTTAACTAATAACTAGTTAAGCACCCAAACTTCTAAGGCTACATCTTCCTCTTTGTGGGCTTCTGTCTTGATCTCAGGTGAAGAAGGCTTGGGCTGTCTGAGGGGAGGGGTGACTTGTCCTCTGCCCTTGAGGTCTGCCAGAGCCCCCAGGGACCCCTGGCTAAGGCATATCCCCAGTTCATGAGGGATACCCAGCACATCCCTGAGCTGACCTTGGTGGATGTACAACCCTGATGCCCCCTGAATAGAGCATCAGCTTTCAAGGCAAAGAATCATTGTGAAATGCAGTGATTGAGACTTTGTTGCTGCGGTCAGACTGCCAAGGTCAGATCCCAGCTCTGTCACTTCCTGTATGTTAGGGGTGCAGATCCTCCAGACCATGGGCTGTATAAGGCCCATGAAATCATCTGGTCTGGCCCTGCCAAGGCAACCATGGGCAGGACTCAAAACTCAATAAATCTATAGTAGTTTAATTTTTAAGTTGATAATTTTATATGGCCTGTGAATGATGCTGTAAAAATCCATATACCTTGGCAGAAAAAAGGTTCCCCACCCTACACTAGGTGATTTTGGACAATGAAACCTTACCTTGCTGAACTGAGCCTCAGGTTCTGCTTCTGCAAAATGGGTTTAATGACACATTCTACCAAGGTGCTTTATAACCCTTCTTAATAAATACTCTAAAGATTACTGTCATTTCTAATACGTTATCTGGTTGAGCAGTTCAGAACTGGGGGACACAAACTCTTGATGAGCAAAAAATGTACAACCTAGAATTCTACTAAAACATTACTTTGGTTTGAAAACCAGTGTGTATCTGGGCGAAACAGAATACCTGTGTCCCAGTGAGGAGCAGCCAGCAGATGAATGGGCTCGCCTGTTCCCCCAGCTCTGCGCACAGACATTCCACAGGGGCTGGGACTCAATGCACTGGCAGACGGGCTGCCACTGGCTCGGAGGACTTGGGTTCTCAATGCCAGGAGAGAGTGAGCCAAGGGGGAAGCACACACCTCCCAAGGAGGACCCCTCCTTGGGCCCCTGCACACACCTCCAGACTTCTGAAGTTATCCCCCAAATAAAACTAATTACTAATATCGGGGGGAGCCGGCGCCGCGGCTCACTAGGCTAATCCTCCGCCTTGCGGCGCCGGCACACCGGGTTCTAGTCCTGGTCAGGGTGCCGGATTCTGTCCCGGTTGCCCCTCTTCCAGGCCAGCTCTCTGCTGTGGCCAGGGAGTGCAGTGGAGGATGGCCCAGGTGCTTGGGCCCTGCACCCCATGGGACACCAGGAAAAGTACCTGGCTCCTGGCTCCTGCCATTGGATCAGCGCGGTGCGCCGGCCGCGGCAGCCATTGGAGGGTGAACAAACGGCAAAAGGAAGACCTTTCTCTCTGTCTCTCTCTCTCACTGTCCACTCTGCCTGTCAAAAAAAATAAAAATAAAATAAATAAATAAATAAAAAAAATAAAAATAAAATAATATCAGGGGGTAATATTCAAGCTATTTGACAACTGTGATAGCACAAATGCCAGCCAGTCAGAGTGGATGCCAGCTGTCAGGAATTGTTCATCCACCCTGGTGCATAACCACTGAATTTCCACCCCGATCAGCATGAACAGAGTCCCTGCCCATCGCTTCACGAGTGTTGGCTTATTTAATCCTCACAGCAACCCTGGGAGGTGGTGTCATCATTAGATCCATTTCACAGGGCAGATACGAGTTGGACTTGGGACCAGGGCTGTAAATTACAGAATGAACCAGCGCATGAACCCCGTTCAGCCTGACTCCAGAGCCCATGCTCAGACCCACTGTGTTCTATGGCCCCTGTGGGACATCAGAGGAAAACTAGCCTAAGAAGTTGGCTGCAATCCCTCTCTTTTCTTCTCAGTGTTTGCCTCTTCCTGGGGTTATTCCTAATTTACTTAGATATTCTGCAACCTCTTTCAGTTAATAACATTCTAAGTCAGAAAAAGCATCTGGGGGCCGGCACTGTGGCACAGCGGGTTAAGACTCTGGCCTGAAGTGCCGGCATCCCATACGGGCGCTGGTTCTAGTCCCGGCTGTTCCTCTTCTGATCCAGCTCTCTGCACACACGTGGGAGACCCGGAAGAAGCTCCTGGCTCCTAGCTTCGGATCAGCGCAGCTCCGGCTGTTGCGACCATCTGGGGAGTGAACCAGCGGATAGAAGACCTCTCTCTCTCTGTCTCTACCTCTCTCTGTAACTCTGCCTTTCAAATAAGTAAAATAAAATCTAAAAAAAAAAAAAAAAAAAAAAAAAAAAAAAAAAAAAAAAAAAAAAGAAAAAGCATTTAGGTTTCCTCTCCCAACCAACACTAATTGCTTGGGAGGTAGGGGCTGTCTCAGTTCTGTATGGACACATGTCCTGAGGTTGCATCAAGCTTATCACAGAGCAGTGGCTCATTAGTGATGTCTGCTATGGGTGCTGGTTTAGTGAGTGATGGCACATAGTTCATTTATTTAGTATCTGTAGCCCAAACAGTGTAGTTTTCCAAATGTCACATCCTTATGGGTACAGTGAACTCACACACAAGGAGTCAGAAGAATTTTAACTTTGTAGTTCCCCAATGTGCCAGTTAAACAAGCTTGACTTATAATGTATTCTTCCAAGTTTGTTCTCAGAAATGGGCATGTCCAGGCTGTGAGTTCTTAGAATGTCAACTTCAGTACAATAGTTATCTTTCTGTGTCTTATTGCTATGTCTCAAGTGTCTAGAGGATTACCTGCACTTAGTGAATGTTTGTTGATTGAATACCAAGAGAGGGTGTGTCCCTGGCCACACCCAGCCTCTGGACTCCTAACTTGCTCTTTGATCTAAGTCCCCCTTGAGAAACTCCCTCCATGGAGAACAGTGAATGGAGAAAGATTCGCACAAAGGAATTTCTAAACCCGAAATGATTTCATTCTCTGTGTTTCAAAGACCCATCTAATGATGCTCATCAGGCAATTATGGCAGAACAAATGGCATTTTCCTCCACACAGTTTATTTACAAAAGACTTGGTAATGAGTCTGCTGAGTATCTCACTTCCCATGTTGGATCACTCTCCCCTTTATTTATTCTATCGGTTGGTGTTAGCAGATACTAGACTTGTTTATGTGCTCCCTTTGACTCTTAGTCCTTTCATTATGATCAATTGTGAACTGAAATTGATCACTTGGAGTAGTGAGATGGCATTGGCACATGCCACCTTGATGGGATTGAATTGGAATCCCCTGGTATGTTTCCAACTCTACCAATTGGGGCAAGTCAGCCCGAGCATGTCCCAAATTATACATCTCTTCCCTCTCTTATTCCCACTCTTATGTTTAACAGGGATCACATTTCGGTTAATTTTCAACACTTAAGAATAACTGTGTGATAATTACAGAATTAAACCAGTCATATTAAGTAGAACAGACAAAAAAAAATACTATGAGGGATAATGTATTAAGTTGTCCATTAGCAGTCAGAGCTATGCTGATCAAGTCACCATTTCTCATAGTGTCCATTTCACTTCAGGAGGTTTCCTTTTTGGTGTTGAGTCAGTTGTCACCGATCAGGGAGAACATATGGTATTTGTCCCTTTGGGACTGGCTTACTTCACTCAGCATGATGTGTTCCAGATTCCTCCATTTTGTTGCAAATGACTGGATTTCGTTGTTTCTTACTGCGGTATAGTACTCTAAAGAATACATATCCCATAATTTCTTTATCCAGTCTACCGTTGATGGGCATTTAGGTTGGTTCCAGGTCTTGGCTATTGTGAATTGTGCTGCAATAAACATTAGGGTGCAGACCGCTTTTTTGTTTATCAATTTA